AACATGAGAGGTCTATTTTAGATTTGAAAGTCTCTGGAGATGGCTCGTGGAAAAAACGTGGATTCAAATCGCTGTACGGAGTTGTAACGGTCATAGGCTACTATTCGGGCAAAGTCATCGATTTAGTTATCAAAAGTAGCTATTGCCATGCATGCACATTTTGGAAAAAAAAGGTGAACACTCCAGAATACGAAGAGTGGTATATAAATCACGAGGAAGAGTGTACAAAAAATCACGAGGGCTCAGCCGGAAAAATGGAGGTCGATGCGATTACAGAAATCTTTTTAAGATCAGAGGAAAAGTACGGCGTTAAATATGGTAATTATATTGGAGACGGAGACTCCAAAACTTTCAAGGCCATTCTAGATAAGAATCCTTACGGTGATGAATTTCAAGTTGCAAAAAGCGAATGCATTGGCCACGTAGAGAAAAGAATGGGCATTCGGCTCCGAAATATAAAATAAACACAAGAACTCGGTGGTAAGGGCAAACTAACGGATGCTTTAATTAAAAAGCTCACAACGTACTATGGTCTGGCAATTAGAAGAAATGCGAATAGTATTGAGGGAATGAAAAAAAGTATTATAGCCACTTATTACCATTTGATCTCTACGGATGAGAAGCCACAGCACGAATACTGCCCGCCCGGCGAAGACAGCTGGTGTAAGTGGCAGAAAGAAAAAGCTATTGAAGCAAATTTGGATTCTTTTGAGCACCCTCCTCCACTCGATCCAACAGTCGCAAAACACATTCTTCCAATTTATGAAGATTTATCTAAGGAAGAATTACTTCAGAGATGCTTGGGCAGTCATACGCAGAATTCAAATGAAAGTTTCAATTCTACGATTTGGCGTTTAGCTCCAAAACATCTTAATTCTGGGCTGAAAATAGTTGAAATTGCATCCTACATCGCTGCTGGAGTCTTCAATGAAGGATATTCTTCCATTCTACAAATTATGATGGAGTTACAAATAATTATTGGGAGCCAGACCAAGCACTATGCTGAGAACGTCGACGGGCGCCGGGTATCTCGACAGGAGCGGCGCAACTCTTTCAACTCTAAAGAAGCTCGAAAGGCCAGAAGAGAGCAGTTATTGGAGCAGAACGAGTTCTTCGAGGAAGCAGAAGGATTGTTCTATGGCGCCGGGATTGCTGACTAAGAGGTAAATTATAGATATCTTGTATCTTTTACTTGTCAAAACTTTAAACACGTTTTTCTCAAAACTGTACTTTTTTGCACTGCTGGAACTCTCATTTAAAAACTATTCAACCGATCGCGCTGAACTTTCGCACACAACTTCATGACATCAGTACAATGTCGGTGAACCTAAATGTTTGTGAAAATTATAATAAAAAATCACTTATTTATTGCAAAAATTGTGCAGAGAAAACGTCAAAAAATGGAAATTTATTTTCATAAGCGTTTCATATTCAAAATTTTTGACTTTTTTCAATTTTTTTAGGTTCAATTACGAATTATGGGTATAAATAATAAGAATTTTTTCGCTGCCTGTTATAGGATCAATATCACGGACGCCATTTGTCCAGCAGCTGAGCAACTCGCACGCGTACCTGCCAAATGGGATGCTTCATATGTCCGCCATTTTTAAATATTTTTGGAAAAAAAAATACGTATGGACAGTCCAAAACATATATAAATAAATGTTTAAGTTTGAAAAATATAGAAAAATTCTTTCTCCTACAAAAAAATTCTTGAAAATAGCTTATTTTTCCTCGTTCTAATTGGATTTCCCCCCTTAAGTAAGACTTTTACTTGCCCGCTTAGTCGGGGTGTTGTTGTGCTCTGTAATATTATGGAAACGAGAAGTTCAATTGCAGATTAATCCAACTATATCGATTTTTAATTAAGTGAATATTTCAAAGAAATCCGACAAAATTTACATAATTATAGGTAAATATATAGAAAAGGTGACATTACACTGATTTCTTTTATTTTTAAATGTTATAAAAAATAAAATTCTGAGTAACTTTTGTTAATACAACTATAGGAGGGTCGCATATTGTTTCGGAGACATATAACTTTAAAATTTCTAAATTGTGCGTTGAAGTATATTCGCAGTGGACGAGTAATTTTCATTGTACATTCACTGTAAATATCAAATCCGTTTACAGTTGCTACTCAAATCTTTCGCCTTATTAAATTAATGAGTCTACTATATATATACCGCACCCTGGCCTCTACTAAACATGGAAATTTTACAAAGATTAGCAAAAACTCCTACGCAAAATTAAGGAGAATTGATTTTTATCCATACAATTGATTTTAAATTTCTTAATTTTTTAATCATATTTTTTAAGTTTCTTTTTTTCAAAACGAATATATGTCTATCACTTTTGCTAACCTTGCAAAGGGATCTTTGCTAATCTTCGTAAAATTTCCATATTTAATATATAGTAAACTCATCAATTTAGAAAGGCGAAAGATTTTACCGAAAATTTAATTAGAAAATGTAGATTAATACAAAAAATGTTAAACGTAAAATCGTGAAATAAAATGTAAAAAATAAAGAAAACTGATTAACTCAACACATATATAAATATTTTATGTATTTTTTAAAACAATCAAAGTGTATATTTTGTTATAACAAAAATTTAAAAAATATATGAAAATATAAATATTTTATATATTAAATAAATGAAAATTTATTATAATGTAGGCGGATAATATTTTTTCATATCACAAAATGCTTCTATTCGTTTAGTAAAGGAGAATTTTCATTTAAAAAGAAACTCTGCAAGATATCCTGCATAATGTTTCTTACGAGTCTCATATCATAGAATATTATCACGAGTATCTCTCCAAGCTCTTTCAATATTGTGAGCTCCATTGCCAGAATCTACAAAATTATACGAATAGTTGACAGTGGCATGTTTGTATCCTTCAGATTGAAGGCAGTCATATGCTTTCCAATAATCGGACATAATAATTATTTCAGGTTTAATCCATTTTCTTATTATATTTAATAAAGTCTTTGCTGGCCGATCGGGTACACATTCGACAAACAATTTTCCCGTTTGACATTCGAATCCGCCAAAAAGTCACTGTCCTAATGAGTCGACCTTTCTGATATTTTCGTTTCCCAATATTGGCTTTATCTATTTCTACTACGACACCTTTTCCTTTTAATATTTTGCTTGTATCATTAACCCAATCAAGGCAAAACTAAAAAGATATATTTTAAATAAAATATAATAGCATGTATATTATAAGTAAAAACATAAAAAGACAAACTTCACGGCAAAAATTTAACCAGTCAATAACAATATTCGATGTAATATTCAATTCATCTGTTAAGAATGTTACTCAAGGAGGACGTATCATTAAAAAATATGCAATAAATTTACATATATTTTGTAGAGTTAAATGAGAATGTGAGAACCATGTGTTATGAAGTGGACTTATTCTAAAATTATACCGCACTTTACGTTATTTTTTTATGACCACGTTTTTTGTATCTTACTGCACTACACTTGAAAAGCATAAGCTCACGATTTAGTCTTAACATTCCCTTATAGAAATATCATACTAAGAATCATTGATAATTACTTATTTTCAGTATTAAAAATACTGGATAATAAGTAATTATCAATGATTCTTAGTATGATATTTCTATAATAGTTGTATCACATCGTGGATTTAATATCTCCATGAATAACTTTGTACTTAATAAGAAAATCTATTAGTTTATCATTATCCTCAACAAGGCTCAGAAATTCGTATAATCGCATATTGAAAATTGTTTGCAAACTGCTTGAGATACATGACGATTGCCAACAGTAAATCATGTTATAAATAATGTAAACAAATACTTTTCTTTGTTAGAAGATGAGTAACGGATTAATAGGGCATATATAAACATTTGTACTTGTAAGTAATGTTAGTTTCTGATATCTGAAATTTAATATTGAAATTTTTAACTTTGTCTTGTTATATCTCCGAAACTATGTGCGACTCCCATATAGTTGTATTAACAAAAGTTACTCAGAATTTCATTTTTTGTAACATATTTCAAAATGAAAGAAATCGGTGAAGTATCACCTTTTTTATATATTTACCGAAAAATTAAACAATCTTACTTATTGTGTAAAACATTAATTTCTTTGGTTTACTTCAAAGTATATTTCTGTAGATGCAATAAAATTGATTAAATCCAAAGAAATCTCTCTCTTTCTCTCCTTTTCCCATTCCCTCCCATTTCCCTCTCTTCTTCCCTCTCGTCCTTTGCCTTTTCCTTCCACTTCTAACCCCCTTCTCTTTCTTTCTCTTTCCTCTTTCCTCTTTTCTCTCCCTATCCTCTCAGTACAATTTCCTCAATATCAACAAACTAGCGGAATATGCCTTCCATGTCGCGTCTTGCATCTTGTCAAAATGTACGTAACTTCTTTGAGCATTACTTTCTAGCTCTAAGTAAATTCCGCGATATGTCCTTATATATTAAAATATTAGTAGGAACACAACACATAAATTTATTATACGAAATGAACTGAGTATTTCGTATTTCATTGTTTTGTAGGTTTTGTAGTGAGAACGCGACGCCGAAATCTCTCTCTCATACCGAGAAATAATTACTGTATCATATACTTTTAGAAACTGACAAGGCACAAATTTGGAGACATTGTAACTTTTGACGAAATGCAATATACAAAATTTACATATTTCTATATCTGAAAAGATACTGCATATTCCGCATTATAATATCCAATATTAGAATATCAATTAACGTCAAAGGTTGTTCCTGAAGCGGCTGAAATCAAAGGCCTGTTTGAATCAAGGATACGTGATAGATGGCTACCCGAAAACTCTTGAACAAGCCAGAATGCTATTTCTAATCAGCGAGAAGGATTTGAAGAAGGAGGAGCAAATAGAGGAAGTAGAGGACGAATTCAAAGACGAGGACATGGAAGTTAATATAAAGAATGTCAATGTTACAATTCTGCCGGAACTGGTAGTAGTTTTGGAAGCGGACGACAAGTTCCTGAAGGAACGTATCATAAACCTTACGGAGAGTGAGATACAAGGAACACATTACATAGAGGAGCACATGTTACGACGTATGAAGGAGTATAGGTATTAATAACACATGCATAAGAAAAGAAATATCGTAACTCACGGCGCGAACATTGTACTTTATTAATGCCGTAATACTTTTAATACGAGCAAATCTATATTGATGGTTTGTACACATATTGGTTAGAATTGACCAATAAAAATCGATTACATAATGTGTAACATCGAACCAAATAAAACATATCGCGACGGTGGATTGATGACTGGAACATGGATGGATGACTGCAACTCAGATAGCACAAGATGTCCTATGGACGTCTATTTTATGTCCATTTTATGTCCGCACATCTATGGATATGCAATGGACGTCCATAAGATATCTGACTTTGGACATCCGTTAATGTCCATAATTTGGATGTTTATAAGATATCCGATCTTGGGCATAAATGTCGTAAATATAAAATTTTACTATAGTTGAGTATGTTGAGAATATGCGCTATCAACATTACATATCCTTCTATCCCCAGGTAGCAACGTCACATCATTTTCACGTCGATAAATGGTGATTACCAGTCCTAGACATTATGTAACCAATAACTGACGTTTAAAAAACGTGATAATTTTGATAATAACGTCATTTAAAGACGTCTATAATACGTTTTTGAGAGGTCATTTTTAATCAGCTATTCGATAAGCAAAGAATGTGACAGATATTTACCTAATGTTCATTAATATCAACTGTGCCCTTAGGAAAAATTACTTAAGATGTTTGAATTAACTTAAAGTTGTTTAAAGTTAATTTAAACAACTTAAAGTAATTTTTCCTAAAGGTGGTATATGTACCAACAGATTATTATTTATATACGTTGTCATTTATTTTTTATGCATTTGCATCTTAAGCATTTGACTCTTAAGAATAAACTTTGTAGAACTTGTCCTACCATTTCTCACGAGCATTGCATCATTGCAATTATCCAGTTAGTAGGATGATGTTCAAAAATATATTAATGAGAAAATGTTGACCTAAATAGTACAGAGATGAATAGAAGTTCATAGAGAATTCATTTTAAAGAATACCTAAATAATTAGAAAAATGAATATCTCATGAATTCCTGAAGAATTATCCGAGCCTAATTTATTCTAAAGTATTCTTTGGAACTTTACTATAATAAATATTTCGCAAATCATTACTTGGGATACTCTGAGAATTTTTGAGAAATTACTATTATTAACTAATTTTATTTACATTTTATGGTTACATTAAACAGATACCCCATCGCTTATAATAAGCGCTGATTTGTATGTTTATATTTAATTTAATTAACTTAATTAAATCGTATATATATATATATATATATATATATATATAAATTATATATTATAATAAGGTAGATTTATATATATATATATATATATATATATATACATATATAAATCTACCTTATTATAATATATAATTTATATATATATATATATATATATATATATATATATATATATATATATATATAAATTATATATTATAATAAGGTAGATTTTTTTTTAATAGTACTATTTTAT